ACACAAAATAAAGATGTACAGTGTATAATGCTTATCAAAGCAGACAGTCCCATGGCATCACCCAGGTCAAGAATTTGAATATCACTGCCCCAAAAGCCCCTCTCATTCCCTTCCTATCACTTCCCAATGTGACCATGAACTTGATTCTTATGCTAATCACTTTGGTCTTTATAGTTTGACCAGTTAAGCATGCATTCCTAAAAATCATGGGATATGTTTTGGCTGCTTTGAGACTTTAAATAAAGGAAATTATTCAGTATAATATTTTTCCCTCCTCCACTCTTTTTTTTTGTTTGTTTGGAGACAGAGTTTGGCTCTTGTTGCCCAGGCTGGAGTCCAATGGCGCCATCTTGGCTCACTGCCACCTTCGGATTCAAGCAATTCTCCTGCCTCAGCCTCCCGAGTAGCTGGGATTACAGGCATGTGCCACCATGCCCGGCTAATTTTTTGTATTTAGTAGAGATAGGATTTCACCATGTTGGTCAGGCTGGTCTCGAACTCCTGACCTCAGGTGACCCACCCACCTCAGCCTCTCAAAGTGTTGAGATTACAGGTGTGAGTCACCGCACCCAGCCCTCTCCTCCACTCTAAAGGGAAGTGTTATTTTGTGTCTAGATTCTTTGCTCAATATTGGCAGATTAATTCAAAGTGGCTGCATGTAACAATGTTGCCTCATAGTATTCCACTGGATAAATGTGTCACCATTGATTGCCTCCTTCAACTGTTGACATTTGGTAGGTTTCCCATTTGGGCTGTTATGGCTAATGCTACTGTGAACAATTATGTATACATCTTTTTTTGTTTGTTTTTTTGTTTGTTTTTGTTTTCTGTTTTTTGGGTTTTTTTTAGACAGAGTCTCGCTCTGTCGCCCAGGCTGGAGTGCAGTGGCGAGATCTTGGCTCACTGCAAGCTCTACCTCCCGGGTTCCCGCCATTCTCCTGCCTCAGCCTCCTGAGTAGCTGGGACTACCAGCGCCCACCACCACGCTGAGCTAATTTTTTGTATTTTTAGTAGAGACGGGGTTTCACCGTGTTAGCCAGGATGGTCTCGATTTCCTGACCTCATGATCTGCCTGCCTTGGCCTCCCAAAGTGCTGGGATTACAGGCGTGAGCCACAGCGCCTGGCCAATGTATGTCTTTTGTTAAACATAGATGTTCATCTCAATAGGTATATAACTAGGTGGGGAATTGCTAGGTCATAGAGTATATGCACTGAGTTGAGTAGTGTCCCCATGTAAGTCATTGCAGACAGAATCAAGTTAAGGTGAGGTCATACTGGATAAGGGTGACCCCTAGTCCAATGCCTGGTGTTTTTAAAGGAGGAGAAAAAGAGACAGACACAGGGAGGAGAGCGCCGCATGAAGCTGAAGGCAGAGATTGGAATGACACCTCCGCACGCCAAGGAACACGGAGCGTTGCTGGGAACCACTGGAAGAAGCCAGAAGAGACGCATGGAACTGACTCTCCCTCACAGCTCCAGAAGGAACCCACCCTGGTGCCAACTTGATTTTGGACTTCTGGCCTTCAGAACTGGGAGAGAATAAATTTCTGTTGCTTTAAAATTCCCGGTCTCTGGCACTTTGTTACTGCAGCCACAGGAAACCCACACAGTGCACGCTTTGCTTTTTGTGTTTCCTTTTCTGTGAAATGCCTTTTCTTTTTTTTCTTTTTTCTTTTTTTTTTTTTGGAGACGGAATTTCACTTTTGCTGTCCAGGTTGGAGTGCAATGGTGCAATCTTGGCTCACTGAAGCCTCCGTTTCTCGGGTTCTAGCGATTCTCCTGCCTCAGCCTCCTGAGTAGCTGGGATTACAGGCACCCGCCAACACGCCTGGCTAATTTTATTTATTTGTAGAGATAGGGGTTTCACCATGTTGGCCAGACTGGTCTCAAACTCCTGGCCTCAGGTGATCCGCCCGCCTCGGCCTCCCAAAGTGTTGGGATTACAGGCGTGAGCCACCACACCCGGCCTTAACCACTTTTAACTGTACAGTTCAGTGGCATTAAGAATGTTCACATTGTTGTACAGCCATCACCACCATCCATCTTCAGAACTCTTTTCTTCTTCCCAAACTAAAGCTCTGTCCCTATTATACAATTTCCCATTCCTCCATCCTCCCAGGCCCTACAACCAACCTTTTACTTTTTGATTCTGGATCTGAAGCCGGTAAGTACATCATATAAGTGGAACCATGTAATATGCAGCCTTTTGTTTCTGGCTTATTGCAGTTAGCATGTTTCTTGAAAATCCTTTGAGAGTATCCATTTGGTAGCATGTATCAAAATGTCATTTCTTTTTATTTTTAAATTAAAATTTTTTTTTTTTGAGACGGAGTCTCACTCTGTTGCCCAGGTTGGAATGCAGTGGCCGGATCTCGGCTCACTGCAAGATCCGTCTCCTGGGTTCACACCATTCTCCTGCCTCAGCCTCCAGCTGGGACAACAGGCGCCTGCCACTACGCCCGGCTTTTTTTTTTTTTTTTTTAGTAGAGACGGGGTTTCACCATGTTAGCAAGGATGGTCTCGATCTCCTGACCTTGTGATCCGCCTGCCTCAGCCTCCCAAAGTGCTGGG